CTGCGGCGGTCCCCACCATGCTCTGATCCCGCCTGCTACGTCGACGTTGATGGGAGGCAGCGTTGACCAAAGGTGGCGCTGGAAGTCATCGCCGAAGGATGTGAAAGAGAGAGACACAAGAGGGAGAGTAGGTAGCTTGGGTACAGTTGGGATTCATGATCAAAGAGAGAGATGGGTTTATGTTTAATAGGTTTGGGTCGGGTTCGGAGAGGGATTTAAGAAGTTACTATAGCGGGTTTTAGCGCTTTTAAAGGCTAAAACCCGCTATTTCGCGCTTTTAAAGCAAAAGGCAGTTTTCTCCGCCAAAACACCCCGCTATCCCCTTTATTGGCGCGGTGAAACACCGCGACCGTGATTAGCGACGCTATAGCGGCGTGATTGCCGCTTTTTACAACACTGAACCCGCGGTTAGAACCAAACACAACCATAGATTACTGCAGCATCATCAGATTCATCAAATCTGGCTAAGCAGGTGGCTAGAACCAAACACTCGGCCTGCTTTGCAGGGCGTGACTGCTCAAGAATCTCATCCTAACTGCGTATGCTCGGCAGATAATGGGACAGTGCTTCAAGTGTGGTGAACCAGGCGGCCGATCCATCAATTGTCCTACTCATGGCTATATTAACATAGTGGATCATGATGATGATAGAGTCAATGAGGATGTCTTTGGCGAGGTCATTTATATCCCAACGAATGAGGACGTAGATAACATTGATGATTGCACATCCCACTCCTTGGTGATTCGTAAGATATTGTTGGCTTCAAGAACTGAAGAGGACCACAACGACACAACATCTTTCCTACTCGATGCACTATGCGATAGAAGATTTACCATGTGATCATTGATAGCAGCAACAATGAGAACTTTATTCATGAGATATTGTGAAGCGCCTATAATTACCTACTGAGAAGCATCCACATCTTTACAAAATCGATTGGATTAAATCTATGGATGACGTCAAGGTTACCAAATAGTATCGAATTTCTTTCTCCATCAGCAAATATAAAGATGTCATCTTGTACGATATAGTTGATATGAATGCCTGTCATTTGTTGCTAGGGAGACCTTGACAATTTGATATTGATTGCTTTCACAGAGGCAAAAAGAACACTTACTCATTTCGAAAATATGGTATTCAGTTTGCACTCGCACCCTCACACAGTGAACCAATTCCAACGGTAGCGAAGTCAGAAAGTATAATTTTTTCTTGTTATGCAGGGTACATACTTTAGTCTACGGTGTAGGAAACTACGATGATGTTTGTAGTAGTATTTAGCGGCTTTGCGAGTTCAGTTCTTTTATTTCCTCATCTTGTACAACCATTGCTCGAAGAGTTCACCGACATATTCCCTGAAGAGGTACCTAATGGCTTGCCCCCTATGCGAGATATTTAGCATCGCATTGACCTTATTCATGGTGCTAGTTTACCAGACCTATCACACTACGACATTAATCTAAAGGAGAGTGCTATATTGTAGGAGGTCTTCGAGTTGTTGAAGAAAGGACTGATTCAATAAAGTTTCAGTCCGTGTGTGGTCTCACCATTAATCTCCCTGAAGAAAGACGAGTTGGCGGACATGTGTTGACAGCCGGGCAATCAATAAGATCAAGATCAAATACAACCTTTCAATTCCTTGGCTCGATATTATGCTAGATATGCTTTCTGGATCATAGTTCTTTTTCAAGATAGACCTGAGGAGTGACTACCATCAGATGATCCGTCCCGGAGATGTTCGTCTAAAATTTAAGGTTTATCAAATGATGTATGAGGTGGAGAATTGTGAACACGTGGGTGCCACATGCATGGGAACCTACAACCATGTGTTTGTTGTGAACACATTGTTGTGAACGCGCACATGCGTGAGGGCCACACCATCAACTTGCAGCCTAAGTTCCCATCAGTAGACACGCTTTCCAACTGGCAGAGCAGGTCCGGATCTCCTATAAATAGGATTTTCTTCTAGGGTTTTGTAGGGGGGGGGAGCAGAGAGAGAAACGAGGGTGTTTTTTTTTGGCGGCTGTTTTTTGAAAAAAAAAAGAGATCTAGTTTTGAGAGAAAAGAGAGAGATTGGAGAGATCTTACAATAGAGGTAAATTTCTTTTGGGTAAAAAAGAAATCAAATCTTCTTCTTTTGAGACGAGCTTGTGGATTGTACAAGTCGTCGGTGTTCTCCTCATAGTGGAATATCTCCTCACCTCTCCCGAGGACATAGGCAAGTTTGCCGAACCATGTAAAACTCGTGTCTTTATTGTTTTCTGGGTGTTAGCTATTATTTGTAGGTTCCCTCGACAAGTCAGTCCTAATGAGAGGAAGAGTGCATATTTTACTTTGTTAAGATATTTTACTTTCTATTCTTGTTTCCTTTGTGAAACAGGAATATAGAGGTTGGCTTGAGCTTTTGTGACAATAAAAGCTAGGGCTTTCTCTCGGGTTATATCGCTTCCGCGGCGTGAGGGCGTGACTCTGCGCCAACATGCTCGTATGAAAACAAGTAGATATCTCTTTTAATTCCGCTTCTACTACATCACACATCAAGTGTCGAAGGAAGTGGTATTGACCAAATATACAACTGCCACTTAAAATAATACTTTTCTGGTTGCAAATAAACTATTAACAAGAACATCTTAATGGAAAAGGAAAATATTCATAATAATTTACCAGTCGAAATTTTGTGGGCCCATAATCAACTCAGCTTCAGGTTGCATATTCTGGTCCTACCAGCCAAAAAAAAGTTCCTAGAAAAGATTAGTCTCAGTATATGAACAAACTAACCTGCTTAAAGACGATAGACACCCCTAACCTCAAGAAATAATCTGTATTCCATTGGAGTAAGTGGCGTCCCATATATTGAAGAATTGCCCAATATTTTGTCGTCCAATGGTGAGAATCTAGAAGGCCACATCTTTTCCCAAAGTTCAGAATATGTAGCAAATGGAGAAGTTGAATCTTTGGTAAATGAACCAAAGCCTTCGATTTCCCATGGAAGACTGAGGTAAGGGATACTCCACTCTATACCTCTAGCGAATTCATAGTAGTCAATAGGAAGGGAAACTGCTAACCATCTAGTCAGTGCAAATACCTGAATGTGACAAGCAATTCTCTGCAAAAAGAAGAAAACTGATAGAAGAAGATGACATATCTAAGAATCAAGTAAGTCCTCAAAAAGTTTTGAAAGCATACCACCAGATTTCTTGATGGTTCAGATATCAGATAAGTAACTGGCTTTGAGAATAGTTCAGATGACAGAAGGTTTGCAGTCGAAACAGTGAGCAGAATTGCAGCCATCGATGTTGCAGCAAAAACAACAGTGGTAATCGTCGACACTACAGAGGAGACCGTGGGTACAGAATCTGGATTACAAACAAACAAGTTCATGACTATAGATAATATATGATTTGTAAATATAAATAACAACAAAGAACAGTATGCTCAGTAACATATCTAGTAAAAATCATAATTGAACAATGAATATATAAGCCATTTGAAAACTCATACAACTATTAGTAAGTGGTCATTATGAATTACTGATATTGTCAAGATGAAAACTCAGGCAATGGACAAGCTACTGAATGTATCTCCGTGTTTTATTATAGGTAGAATAAAAAAAGAAAAGACTCTTACAGTGTCTTAGTTGTAACAGATTTGATGCTAGATTCTTGTTTCCAGCAACATCTACTGTAGTATTTTCAGGCACTACTATGGAAACAATGCTATCATCAGCATATACTTCCATCCGGTAAACACTCCTACTTATATCATGAAAGCTGCAAGGAGAAATGAAGTATAGTGAAGTGACGCTTCCTTGCCAACAAATTACAGAAAAATTGGCACTTAGAATCTGAATATATTTGAGGAGAAAATATCTTGCCTGAGCAAATGACCTCCGGATACTGATATAGATGAAGAGTTGAAGTCAAACACCGGCTTCACAAACTTTATCAGAACTGGTATGTTGTGTGCTCTTGTTTTTTTATGGGAAGTTGTACTCAGCTTGACGGTAGGTCGTTGAGCATCTGCAATAACATTCTCATTTATCAGATAAAGATACTCAATAATCATGAAAATGCTGCAAAAATTAACCATTAAGTATAAATTACAGAATCACAGTGATGACTTCAATATTTTTGACATGTATAGTATCTACATGTAATTTATAATAAAATTAAAGTTGTCATTAGAGAATTATAACTTCTTAAAACCAAGTATTTTTTGGTCATCCAAGTTAGCATCTGATTCCTCAGATAGTTAAGTCATTAATCCTACTGGAGAGAGCATAGAATGAACAACACAATCTAAAAGCTTCTCCTATTATCAACAAATATTTTCATCTGTCCTCATCTTTGATATTTTGACTGAATATTGTTTTGGTCGAGGGTCAAGAAGCATAATTTTTTCTATATTTCAATCCATTTTAAGCTATATTTGGCTAAATTGGGCACCGATGCCTTACTAAAACTTGCTGAAGAAGTAAATTTTGCCTCTTGTGAGTGATACAGGATACTTTACATGGAAGCAGCACATCCAAATTTTACAAGTGCTGCCTGAAATTGGATTCTTTTATTTTGTTAAGCTATTAAGGAAGCTTATGCTTTGTAGAGTATAAGAACACATATCTTTTGCATCCTTCTTTTAAAGATTTAGAAGATACCATAAAGGAATGTGACTGGATTTGGTAACAAGCTAGGAGTTCCCTGCCGACTAATTATGGAGCTCGTTTCACACGTTACTGTGACTATAGACATGCTCGATAAAATGCTGACCTGAAAGAAAAAAAAAGTTCAGATCACTAAATCACACAGAAAAGAAGTCATCCTATGTTTTAAAGGTACCGGGGAAGGAAACTCACCATATAACCAAAACGACGATACCCAAGGCTGTCCCCATTTATAGGAGAAATTGAACCAGTGTTAGTGCGGAGAGTATCATAAATTTCTGCAGAGGAATTAAGGACTGGTTCTGAGAAATATAAATAAACTCTCAGGTCCTTATGGCTGTTAGTTGCTTCAACTGTTCTTGGCTTGCCATTAAGATGAAGAAGTTTCTTTGGAATGTGAGTCCTTAGCTGTACAGAAACATTTCTTCTATCTGAAAGTTCCAATTTGGATAAGGAGTTAATTTACTGAACGAACTGGTTCAGAATTTTCTATGAGGAGGATGTATGAAAATACAACAACATTGTGTAACATAAGACGTGACAATTTTTTTTTACAGTTTCAATATATTGAATCTTTTAAATACGTGATTTAAATAATCATGTTAAAGTTTACAGACTGAAATAAGGCATGAAAATCATCAAAATGAGACTAGTAAAATATTCAAAAGCAAAATTGTATTCTCCAATAAAGCAGGTTAAATGACGATGTTTTATTTTCTTTTTCTTTGTTGAACTATAAATCTCTTGAAACATTTCACATTCATAGGGAGAAGAAAAAAGAAAAAAAAGAAAAGATTATAGTCATAGGTATACAAGGTTATGCAAGTCCGAAAATTTAAATCTCTAAGAGAACATAGAGTAGGCAACTTCACCCTTCAATCTCCAGCTAGTAATATCTCTAAAAAATTTCAACATTCACTTCTTGGGACTGGAAATGTAATATTCCAAATTTTAAAAACAAGATAGATGCTACTTTTAATTGGTTCCTAAATCTGAAAATGGTTCATGGATTGATTTTGCATATATGATACAGATGAATAAAGTCAACATACCAATATGTAAAAGGAAACTCGAATTTGATGTCCTGGTGAACTTATTTCCAGCAGCATCTGTACAAAAATTCTTATCCATTACCAGTACCAATCTCCCATACTGTACAGCAGTAGATATAGCCACCACAAGAGAAAACTGTAGATCAGGCTGAAGAATCTTGAGAGCAGATGGTATAACATGGCCAGCCCCATAGACAAGAAGCTGCAAATTAAGAGGTAAAACGAAATAAGAAACAATCTGCAAGTTTGATACAGCAATACTGCCTTAAATTAAAGGCATTAGAAAGCTAAAATTCTACAGTTCTAACTTCAGTAGCGAAATGCATATAAGCTTAGATGAATAACCTATGAAGTAAGTCACGTAAAAGTATGATTAGTTCATGTATCCAAATAGGATTCTGTATTTTAATTTTAATAAACAGCAGTGAGCAAGTAAATAGATATGTCAAGTAATATTATGTTCATCTCCAAGATTTCTTTCCAGTCTAAATCTATAAGCTAATCTGTCTTTTGTCAGTTGTTTTGATATAATTCTTGCAAGCATAAAGCAAAAGAGTTCAATCTCTAATTAGATCACTTCATAAAGTGGAGAATATTTATCATCTGCAGCATGATTTTATGTACACTGAATACTTAGCATCAGACCAATACAGTTCTTGAGAAAGGTAGACGTGATACAGATCATACATGGAAAAAATAACATATTATATGGTTTCATAAAAGAAAATGCAATAACAAATAGAAAAAGATACACACAGAGATAATAATATTACATAAATAGAACAAAATGTATGCTTGAGTGTGGGTTGTGTGCGGCATGCGCGTGCGCGTGTCTGCATGTGTGTGTGTGAGTGTGCGCGCGCATGTGCATGTGGGTGTGTGGGTGTCTCTTTGAAACTTCGCATGCCCTTTGACTATTACAAAATGTTAGAAAACGTATAACTGCAAAAGTACAGTTTATTAATTGGTTTGTTTTGTTAGTTACTTTTTGTACTCTTTTCAATTTTCATGTACAAATATAGAACATGCACAAACACATGCAAACACATATGTTAGCCAAAAGGCAACAAATGCAAGTATATTCACGAACAAACTCTTGTATATCACATGCAAACATGCATGCACACCCGCACACGCACAAAAACACATGCACATACTTGTAATGAAATTCTCAAACAAACACTTGTATGGCAGAAGCTTAGAGAGATATTTCTAGTCCTGGAAAACTAACATATCCAAATCTGATCTTGTCTACCACAATCAACTGGCAAGAATCTTCAGGTAGTCAGTTGGATAAACAAGACACATATTTTATGTGCATTTTAATGCTTAGAATGATTTAAAGATAGAGAGTAAGATTTATTTCCTTTTCCAAATTAGTTAATTGCTACTTACACTACAATAATCTGATGAGCACCTGAATCCCCCTCCACCAGTGCAAGGTTTATTGAATGTAATATGAACAGAGACATTTGACATGCTTGTAAGAGATGTATCAGCTGAAACTAATGCTGTAGGAGGAACTGTATCTGCAAAGTGAAAGATAATTCTGAAGTTAAGGTCTATAGAAAAATATGAAAACATAAGTGGTTCTATAAGCTTACTTTATTCAGGAAAATGTTATCCAGTTCCTTTTACTATATAAATATGAAGATAAAATTAGCTAGATTATCCTTAATATACTCATACTGATTTTCAATATTCGAGAACAAAATCTCCTACTTATTAGGTCAATTAATTAGTGTTCTCATACAAGTTGCAGCCAGTTTCATAGAAAGTCAACAATTTAAATATTAGGCAGCACCTAAAAGAAAATTAAATGCATGAACTACATATCAAAAGGTGTATTCTAATTATGATCATATTCACGCTTTCCCAAATTAATATCTGCTTATTTCTAAGAAAATTTCCTCAAGGACCCAAAATATGGGACCAATAGGAGGGACAAGTGAGGTGTCCACCTCCTATTGGATAATGAATTGGCCATCATTAATGATGACCAATTCATTATCCAATAGGAGATGGACACCTCACTTGTCCCCCCTATTGGTCCCATATTTTGGGTCCCTGTAGCAAAGCTCTATTTCTAAAACTAAAGGACAAAAATAAGGTTCATCTTCTGGCAAATCAATAAAATATTCTCATGTTGTCATACTCAACTAACAAATAGCTAAATAAGACATTCCCAAGTCTCCATATTTATTGGTCATGCTAGAAAGGTGCTGAATGTGAGGTAATAGATGCCAGAGGAAATAGATTGGCATCTTAATGTTGATTAGTCATTTGCTATCAGCATTTGCATTTTTTCCATAGTTTTTTGTTGTGTAAAATTTGCATAATAAATTATTTAATGGGTAAATTACACTCAACCCTCAAGAACTTTTAAGTGTTTTGTAGAACACCCAGGCCAGAATAACTTTCAAAATTGTATTAAACTCCCAATATCTTTTGCAGAAATCCCCCAATATCTTTTGGGTAAAGCATGCTAAACGGCCAATAACAATGTCCATTTATGTTGTTTTTTGGTTCAAAATTATGGGGGTTATCTGCATAATGAGGAAAGTTATTGGGGTTTTTCTGGAATTCCAAAAGTTATTGAGGGTTTATTCCAATTTTGAAAGTTCTTGAGGGTTTCCTACGAAATGCTGAAAATTATTGGGGGCTCAGTGTAATTTACCTATATTCCATAGATCCATGCATGGAGACATCAGAGAGTATGTTCGTGAAGGTTGCATCTTAGGAAGACGAATATTCAACGGAAACTTGCATAAATAAAGAAACTAAATGAGAATACAAAGGGAAGTTTCTTTACCGATAGTCCAGTTATAGCTAGCACAATGAACTCCCAGAGATCCATTGGTGCAGACCTCAAATGTATGATCTCCATCATGCAAGCCTTTATATGATACTTCTCTAGACTTACAGACTGAAGAAGTGGAGTTATCCAACTACATTGATGTGATTATGAATATAATTAGACAATGAGGAAGGAAACAATATGATACATGTCTAAAGACAAAAATAATTAATAGATATTACCTCCTAAGGTACCATAGACTGTTGACGTCAACAGTAATTCATCATACCTTTCATTATCAGTTATCAATTAACTGTCAGAAAAATGATTGCATGTGTTCTTGGAATGAAGTAAAGGGACACCCTACTTCATGAATCGTAAACAAAGTCATGAAACATTATGTCGATAGTAAGTTCTATCTTTCCATTGTCAGGATATCATTTAGGTTTCAAACCTACCTTAGCACAGGCTTTTAAAATCCCAGTTGCATTTCCTCAGGCCGACCCTCTTTAAATGCACCCATTAAGAGAATTTTTTGTTTATAGTGTATTTTGGAACTAGTTACACATGTCAAAATCAATTAGTAGCGAAAATACATAACTTAATGTGTATGTATCTTTTCCCGTTGTGCTAAGATTGACAGTTACATTTATATATGTACATAAATTTTAGGACCTTATATTGCTTTGTCTTAAGGTTTGTATCATGTGCAATTAAAATTTTAAAACAACTTAGCACTACAAGAAAATTATAGAAAGCTAGTTCTAATTTCTGCAAATTTGCTAAATAGTTAGCTTGGAGGAATTTAATTACTCACGCTCCCTTCCAACAATCCTCAGAAAATCAACTATAGCAACCTTCAAAATCTTCCCAACATTATAGATCGGAAAAATTAACCAAAATTACTCACATTATCTAGTCAACCCAAAAAGAAAAAGAAAAAAAGTGGGGTAAAAAGATTAGCAAATGTCAAGGCTTTCCTTTTATATTTGAGAAAAACTCCATACAGTTGTCCGCTATCTAACCCACTATAATGGTTATGATTCTGAAAAATACCCAAAGATAGTAAAGTTTTAGCGGGGGAAAAACAGAGGAGTAGAAACAATCAATTTTCAGGATAATAATCTCAAAAAGACCTTTTTCACAAAATGCAGTCACATTCAGTTGCAATTCTCACAAGAGCAACAATACCCACTATAAAAAATAAAAATAAAAACCTAAATCCAGCTCATCTAACCTTGCATGTGAGGCTACAGTCACTGCAGAGGCCCCCATTCCTCCCTTCTGAAACCTCAAACCCAAATGCAGCTGAATCCAATGATGAAACTGGCAATGGAGCTTTTACAAACTTCACATTAAAATTGTCACCAGCGTGAGCTTTTAGAGAGAGAAAGATGGAGACCCAAGAGAGGAGAAGAAGCATGAGCAGCCATGGCCCCCTCTGGGCCAAACCCATCTCAGAGGAAGGCCCTTTCTTTTACCCAACCTCTCAGTTTTTGTACTTTGATTTTGGATTTGTGGAAGATGATGAAATTTCTTTTGTTGGGCCCTTTTTTGTTCTAATATTTTTCTCGTTCTTCGAGTGAGGAGCTAGTGATAAATGGGATTGGAGCATGACAGTGGGATTGAGGTGCAGGGATTCTCTCGATGTATTTAATGCTTTTGGGCTTGTAAATAATTACTCAACTAATTTGGGAGAGAGAGAATACATGAGAGAGGGTAAATCAATGGATGGCTGTGAAGATACCGTTAAGAGATATAGCACATGAGAGTGACAGTGTCAGCTTGGAAGAAAATTATTGTTTTTTCTTTGGAAAGAAAATTAATTTTTGTTATTTCAGTTTGATGTTTTTGTAACTTTTTTGAAGAGAAACCTATCTGAGTATGTGTGTGTGACATTATACATTGGTGGTTAAATCCTAGTTTGGTAAGAGAGTGATTTGTTTAGCGGAATACAAAATTCTATCAAAACATTCTAATCTAAACTAAATTGGACGGTTCAAATTAGCAAATACTCTGCGGATGTCCTGATAGAATTTGTATTCATGTTTACCATTACTTATTATTCATTATTATCATTGATTCGAGGTTTTTTTGGTGTTTCACTCGCCAAAGTGCAGCCCTTTGTCAACAACGGACATGTGTACTTCTACATGCAATGTTCTAATCAAATCGGCGGTCAAGACCAGCAAGGATCCCGACTTAGCCGACTCGCCGAGTCAACATCTTCTTGGGTCGACTCGAAGGGCGGTACTTGTCTATCCTCTTGTCGAAGATGACTCGCTACGAGCCCACTCGACCAGTTATTCGACCCCTTGCGAGGTCGACTCGAGAGGCGTTACTTCTCGGTCAAGTTAAAGGATAACTTCGACCTCGAACCTCTCCTACTGACAACGTATCAGCATCACATTTAATGCTGGGCAGGCACCATCATGCATTTAGTCCCGATAGTCTTCATGACCCATCAGACCACGTCGGCACCGACACGTCCCGGATCACTTCTCATTTAATGCTGAGGTAATCTCTCCTCTACTCGTCTGCTGACATGTGTAAACTAGGTGTTGACGCAGTCGCCAACCCATACTCGTTCACTGCCATCCTGTGATCGGCCGAAGTGACGATTCTACCATTATACCACCAGTATAAATACTATTCTAACATAGAGGGGACTTTGGGATCTCTGATCTGAGTTTTCTAATCTTATGTTATCTTAAGCAATTCCACTACATTAAAGAACTTACGCAGTTCTTCATTTCCCCACTCAAATTCACCAGCTGACTTGATCGTCGGAGGAACCACGAAGAACCAAGCCCCATCCTCTCACGAGCTGTTATTTGTGCAGGCTTCAGCTACTCAACTCAGGATCAGATATTCGGGGAAGGGAGCGGCCCCTCATCAATCTCACCCCTATCAATATAATTGACTGATTGATCACTTAACCATCAACAGAGGTCACAATTCAAATTCTTTACCGTTGAATTTTCAACATAATCTCTTTGTTAGTCCACATTATTTCCACTATCTCTACTCATAATTTGTCTTTAGATTGCACACATCTAAGTGCAATGAAACAAGTGAAAATAAATATTTAAGAATTTTTTTTGTCAAATTTGTCTCTAGTATGGATTTAGTTTAGTTAAGCAGAACAAACTTCCCTCTTTGAGTTTCTAACAAGCAAAAGCATTGTTCCTCCGTAATGCACATCGCACAGCACAAATAATGCATATTCCGATATCACATGGGCTGCCTAATTTAATCTGAACCTATAAATGCTACTTATAAAAAACTCAAGCAAAGTGCATATTATTACTTTTGTGCTTGAAGAGGAGGTCCCTGAAAATTGAGAAATTTAATTTGATGCTGTTGTAAAGTCACCATCGTTTTGCCGTTGAACTCTGCAGCTCATGTGAGTTGGATCCTATGCGACATTAAATAGACCATGTGGTTTATTTATCAGTTGTTACCAATGTACATTTCTAAACAACTCATAAATAATTTCATCTATTTCATTTTGGCTCTAGAATTGTTAGGTTGAGCATTGAATTTAACTATATCGTTCCAAACTAGTAACTTTTCTTGGAGAAAATAGTTTGGTGGGTTTGGTCCATTACATGAATAGTGTGCTAAAGTTATACGTATCATTCGGTTAATAGATTTGTCAATTTATACACTGATCAAATGGTAAACATCCATCTGTTAACATTATAGTTTGTGACCTTCGAAGATTTACTTTTAAATTATAACTCACTAGCGTCTATAGACTATAATCAAATTTAGGCCATAAAGTAGCACACATATATCGTGATCAAGTAAATTCACCCGCTATTAAACATGATGACAGTGAGAGAGATATCTCCAGTAGCTCTCTCAAGCTTTTGAAACATAAAAAATAATGTTCTCTTTCTCAGGCTTATCTTTTGTTTTTGCTTGCGGTGTGTGCCCAAATTATCTGCATTACGTACGTTATGCTCATTATTTTCATTTTTTCATAAAATATCATACTATTATCATGAACCAAGTCCTGCCACCTCATATGTGGGGCTTCTAACACTCAACATGGAAGCATATTGTTGGTTTCGGGTGTAGACCCAAACCTTAGAACAAGCATGCAAAGCAAATATTTCTCTAAGTTAAAAAAAATCAGACGAACTTGGAAGTTCAGGCGAACTTGATAGTTCAGGTGAAGCCCAGAGCTATTTCAGGCGAACTTGGATCACAGGCGAAGCTGAGTTCAGGCGAACCCCAAGTGCAGGTGAACTCCAAGTGCATGCGAACTTCAAGTGCTCAAGCGAAGTTGAGCTTAGGCGAACCCTAAATACAGGCGAACGTACTCCAAGATTAGGCGAACTTGTAAGTTAGACGAACGTGACTATGTTTAGGCGAACATGAGTCAGGTGAACTTGTGTGTTCAGGCGGACTTCACAAGTCAGGCGAGCTTTGAGTGTTCAGGCGAACCCGCATGTCAGACGAACTCGCAGAAAAGATAGATTCCTAATCTGTTTTTTGATCTAGGGTTTCCCTATAAATAGGGAACCCTGGCCGCCACATAAACGTGACTTTTAGTAGAGCTATTCCTGTAGCTATTTTTTTTGGCAATTTTTACAGTGCCTTGATCGGCGATTTTTCAGAGAAAAATCTCGCGCCTTGAGAAATAAAAAGAGAGTTCTTTTTTTAGTGATCTCAAGGAGTTTGAGATCATCTCTTGCAAGCTTTGTAACCTTCTTTAATATTCGAAGGAAATTTTTTTATGTGGCTCTCGAGGACGTAGGCAAGTTGTCGAACCTCGTTAAAATTTTGGTGTTCTCTCTTCTACTTTTCCCTTGCAAAGTTTTTTTATTTGTTGTGATTTCTTTTTGCCTTCTTTCAATACAAGATCCGGAGGACACGTTCTGCGAGAAGGTTCATTTGACGGATTGTTGATAGGACGAATCCCCAATAACTGGTATTAGAGCCTCGTTCAGATCTGTGTGTAAGCAATGACAGAAGAAAGTAAATCAAAGATTGAGAAGTTTGACGGATCAGACTTCGCCTACTGGAATTCACAGACGAAGGACTATCTGTATCAAAAGAATCTTTATCGTCCGTTGATGGGTAAAATGAAGGGAAAGAAGAAGGATAAGACCGACGAGGACTGCGAAATATTAGATCGAAAGGCTCTAGGGCAAATCCGATTATCGCTCGCAAAATTAGTCACACACAATATATTAAAGGAGAAGATGACAGTGGGGCTTATGGAAGCGCTCGCTAAGATGTACGAGCAACCGTCAACTGCAAACAATGTGCATCTCGTCAAAACGTTCTTCAACCTCAAGATGACAGAATGATGTTCCTTCACGATGCATCTTAGCGAGTTCAAAACGATTGTTGATCAACTCATCTCAGTCGACATCACGTTTGATGACGAAGTGCATGCCCTATTAATACCATTGCAGTTGCCGGATAGTTGGGCAGGTTGCGTGACCGCAATCAGTAACTCATCGGGGGAGGAGAAACTAAAGCTGAGCAAGGTTATCAGCATGATTCTATCCAAGGAGGTTAGAAGAAAATCGTCTGAATCAGAGAGTTCAGGTTCAACCCTAAATCTCGAATAGAGAGGCTGAAGCCGAAATAAGGGTAACCAGAATAGGAATCGATCAAAGTCAAAGAAGAAGAGGTCGAACTCGAAGGTGAGGCCTATCAAAGGAAAATGTTGGAACTGCAGCCAGGAGAGCCATATGTCTTCAGTCTGTAAAGCACTAAAGAAGGATGCAAGTGAGCAAGAGGCTCATATTATGCAAGATGTCTTGATCCTTGCTATGGACATTGGTTCTGATTCATGGGTTATTGATTCGGGAGCCTTATTCCACTCTACTGCTAATACAAAGCTTTGTCATAACTATGTAGCAGAGAATTTTGGGAAAGTGTACTTGGGGTATAACGAGTCATGTTGTATTATTGGAAGAGGTGACGTGCAGATACAAATGAAGGGCTCCAAGTGGAATCTGAAGAATGTCAGACATGTACTGAAGCTGAAGAGGAATCTTGTTTCGGTTGGCCGGCTTGGAGCAGAAGACTATGTTACGATATTTACCGAGGATTCATAAAAAATCTCTAACGGTACTATGGTAGTTGCCCATGGTAACAAAACCGAAACACTCTACCTAACTTCACATACGAGTGACATCCTCGTAATTGCAGTTGGCAATGAGAGTGTAGATCTATGGCACAATAGGTTAGGATATATGAGTGAGAAGGGTATGAAGATTCTACACTCAGAGGGAAAGCTAACCGGTATCGATTCAGTGAAAGTTGGTGTTTGTGAAGATTGCATCTACGGGAAGCAGAAAAGGGTCAGCTTTCAGAAGAGTGGAAGACCACCTAAAGCTCATAAGCTAGAGCTTATTCATACAGATGTATGAGGTCCAGCTAGCGTATCTTTTCTTGGCAGTTTGATGTACTACGTAACCTTTATCGACGGTCACTCGAGAAAGGTGTGGATATACTTCATAAAGCACAAGTCAGAGGTGTTTGGAATCTTCAAGCAGTGAAAAGCCATGGTGGATAATGAGACAGATCTGAAAGTGAAGTATCTGATATCAGATAATGATAGAGAATACGAGTTGGAGGAGTTCAAGAAGTTCTGTACTCTGAATGAGATTCATTTAGAGAGGACTACTCTAGGAACACTGCAACAGAATAACGTTATAGAAAGAATGAACAGAACATTGACAGAGCGTGCGAGGAGCATGCG